ATTCTTTACAAAAACCAACTTGGACTTTTACAAGTCAATGGTCCAAAGCAAATAAACCAGTTTGAGACTGCTTTAACTCCCCTGGCTCAGTGTTAGGGAATTCTGGGAAGCTTGTTATGACATCAGATGTTTCTAAGAGATAAGACCAAAGGTCTCACAAAACTACAGTTCCCAGAATTTCCTAGCACTCAGCCGGGGCAGTTAAAGCAGCCTCAAACTGGATTATTTCTGCAATGTGTTTTTAACCTATGTTAAACACTCCTGATCACAGCTTCTACATAGTTATCCACATGTAAATCTAGGGCCAGCATAAAAATATGTGCTGAAAGCTCTACTCTGTTGTATCTGTTTCTATCAGTTGCTACGTCTTTCCAGCTAGGCATATAACTAGGAGAACAAATGAATTCCTTGTGTTAATGCAACAATGAAGTACAAATTGATTGATTATTATGATTTCACTGTTGAAGATGCAGCAGAATTACAATGGAAACTCTTGAGTCTGATTCAAATAGTTAGCTGCTTATTATAGTTACGGAAATCTTTCAGTTTTCCTGAGTGTCTTTGAATTTCACCTGTTCATAGAGTATGAAATCTTATCCTTTACCCAAAACATGACACATCTATACACAGCATCACAATTTATACTTGAGCATCATATGTTATATTATAAGGAAACCACAGTGTGGTTATATTGTGTATGTGTTTCTTTATGTTTTTATTTTTTATGTGAATTTACTTCTAAAAGTGATATTTAGGCTTTAATGTCTCACCTAGGAGTTAGATCTACTGAGATCAATAGGATTTAATTCTGAGTGAACATGTATAGAATTTTTAAGGACTCTTCTCTTTTCAAGTGACCATCTTATCCAAAGTCTTTCTCAGCTTATTCAAAGGAAATATGTTGATTTGAAAGTAAATAGCAACAATTCACATTCTATTGACTTCAGTAAATTCTTTCTGGAGTGCACTATTACATTGAATTTTCTTCCACATTAAAAAAAAATGGCATCTAGAACACTCATATACCAGGGAGAGGGAGCATGTGTCCATTATATACTAGTTTTCCATGTACATCCCCCAGATTTTGTTCTCTGTGTTTTAATATTCAGAAATTGAAAGCTTTAAAGTGAACTCCCTTGGCTGGAAGAGGTTGCTTACCCTCTATCTCATGTAGCAGGTGTCTTGTGCTGAGGAATTTAATCTATGCTTTGCAGCAAAACAATCAAATGTTAGCATTTACTATGTATTTCCTAACAATTCCAGATGTTTCTAAGGTTTCCCATGGCAATTCCCCAGATAATTATTGGCACACAGCTGATA